AGAAGAAGAAGAAGAAGAAGAAGAAGAAGAAGAAGAAGAAGAAGAAGAAGAAGAAGAAGAAGAAGAAGAAGAAGAAGAAGAAGAAGAAGAAGACGAAGATGTCGCGCCGTCCGACACCTTCGTCGTTGTGTCGCATGACGCGGTGGTGTGAACTCGGCTAACCTCTCCCGTGACAGGGCATCGCGCCGCCGCCGGAGCTTGCGCGGCGCTCGTCATCCGGAGCGGGAGTGCATCACGCGTGAGTGAGAGCGAGTGGGCGCGCGCGCGCGGGCATGACGCGACGCCACCACGGCCGCCGCACGACGGCTCGCAGGACGGCGGCCGCCGGCAGCAGCAGCCTCGCTGCGCAGCAGCTGAGAGCCAGCATCGACGGCGCCGCCGGCGTCACCGCTGACGATGAGCGCCAGCAGGAGGCGGGGGCGGCGCCCGACTGGCAGCACCACGTGTCACGACTCGCCCTGCTGCTGCTCGTACCGCACGAGGTAAGCGAGGCGTCGCGCAAGCGCCGCTTTTCCTTGTTTCGTCTCGGCATGCTAGTGTAGTGGCGTGGCGGGGGCGGGGCGGAGGAAGGAGTAAGGAGACAGCAAGCGGGGATTGCTAAGGGAAGGACAGGGTGGTGCATTTGTAAATTGTGGCGCGGTGTTACGATTGAGTGGTACCGTTGCGCACCGTGCGCGGTTGGGTGGGGTGGGGTAGGATTTGGAATATCGTTGGTTAATAGTGAAATTTGCTGGAGTGGGCAGTGTTTAGTGGAGTGGTAGGAATGGTGCATGGCTAGAGTTTAGAGGGGTGGGACGTTCTGGTGTGAATGTAGTCATCTAGGATCGCAGAGGTGATGCATAACCAGTGGACGAGTTTTCGAGTGAATAGTGTTGTGTTGGGTGGCAGGCGTGACAGATGAGTTACTGGGTTGGCCACTAGGAAAGCGCAGGGAATGCTTGCTCACTTCAGAATATCAGGAAAGAGTCATGCAGTGTACAATATTTGAGGTAAATCAAGCTCGCTTGTGAAAGCCCGCGAGTGTATTTTTTTTTTATCCTTCTACGTGTTTGGAAATCTAGTGTGGTATCTGTACGTCAATCAAGTGCTTAAAAGTCGAACCAAAACTTTTGAAAACAAACGATTTTTTCGCTTAAACCTTTCACGTACGCGTTCCAGACGACAAACTAGTCCACTTTTACGTAATATTAATACCAATTCTACATTAAAATCAAGAGCCCATCTACTATTGGCTAACCTACCTAGTCGGGGCTTCTGCATGTGCATGGATGTAGGTCGAGGCGTCAAGCAGGTGAGCTACTATGTGAGTCACGCAGGTGTTGTCGTCAGTGTCAGCCGCTGCGACACGGTGACGTCATAATGAACGTTGATCGTCAACCAAAACTAACACAGCAGCAGCGTATCAACCTAGCTGCTATACTAGGTGTGCTGAGCGCGCTGCTCGCGTGCGGCAAGGATGCTGAGTGCTGGCTTGTGTCAACACAGTTTCACGTATACACGCGCGTACACGCACGTACACACACGCACGCACGCGCGCACACACACACACACACACACACACACACACAACACACACACACACACACACACACACACACACACACACACACACACACACACACACACACACACACACTACACACCACACAAAATGTCTTCCCTTGCAACTGCTGTACATCATTCGCGTTAACTAGTTTGTTCTATCGATTGTTTAGGAATATTGGTACGTTCCACTACTTGCCACGCATCCTTGCTGTCAATAGCCTGAAGAGAGACATTGTCTCGAAAGCTCGGTCTATGAAGAAATAATATATATTTCAAGTATTTCTTCATAGACCGAGCTTTCGAGACAATGTCTCTTCTTCAGGCTATTGACAGCAAGGATGCGTGGCAAGTAGTGGAACGTACTAATATTCCTAAACAATCTCTCTATATATATATATATATGTGTATGTGTATATATGAATATATGTATATATATATTATATATATATATATATATATATCACTGTCGGCTGCTCGTTGTAAATCGGTTAAATTGCAAACGTCAGCCGGAAGATACTTTGTCGGGAAGGATCGGTGTGGGTTAGCTACTGCGTACCCTGTGTACCAGGGGATTCTCGCATATGCTCATTCGCATTTCAACGCAGTGCGCAGCACGCATTCGTTGGAAACACGAAAGCATATATAGCCGTGCGTAATACAATTTCGTGGAAGGCGGTGGTGAGGTGAGGGGAGGGGGTGAGGGAGTTGGTAGAGGAGGGAAGGAGCGAGGCTCGCTTTATAACGGCGGCTAACTTGATCGATACGGTGTTAGGAAAAATGTCTGGGGCATTCGTATACAGCAGTATACGTTGTGTGTGCGTGCACGTGTACGTGTTATACACGTGCTTCACATGTTAGAGAACACGTTTATCGCACGCGATCAGTTAGTCACTCGTCCACGAGTAATGCAGGAAAAACGCTAGAAGGGAAACGCTTTTGTAATCGTTTCTAATAATCCGATTTTTAATCGGAATTGCTTCTTCATCGATTCAGAATTTTATTTCGCTGCATTGCTCTCGGCTTTTGAGACCCACTGTCATTCAGCCTCCCACGCTGCTTTAACGGAGTTACTTGTGACCTTGGTTCTATTCACGATCCCCTAGGCGAGCCGATGTGAAGGCGTCGAATAAACGCTATATACCCGAGGCATCTACACTGGTTCGTAATGGAGTAGTTAGTCGTGTGAACACGCGTGTAAGCAGGACGAACGGCAAACGCTGCTAACATTTACTCTAATTTAACGTAATTGTTTTCTCGTAGGATTTCGTGCCATACTTCACCGACATGTTTGTGTGTATACTCTCGCTTGCTGAAAATCCAACATGAAAAGAACGAAAAGACGAGTTTTTGATGGAGGCCAATTCGACTGTATGTATACAGAAACACACAAAATCAATATTAATACCAGGTTACCAGGTTAGATATACAAATTTAAACCAATAATCGTTCTGCAGCAAGAAGCGGAAGATCGACTCTCGCCTAAGAATTTGGCGACGACGTTCGAATAACGTTAATTGCGTTAACATGCTCTCGTTACACGGTAAGTGAAGAAGAGCGCAACCATGAAGCAAATGTGATCGCTCTTGTACGGTTGGGGGCGCGGTATTGTGGCGCCCCCATGCAGCCCGCAGGAAACCTTGTTCCCGTAGATTGTACGAGCAGTTGTGATATCGTCCCCCGTTGAGCCTGCGCGCTTTGATGCTCGTAAAGAGGCTAGAATTTATATCAATGGCAAGACAAATATCGTTGTAATCTTGTAGTTTGCAAATATTGAGCGGCTGCAGTTGCACGCCCAGACGCTTTTCTGTAACAGATGGGTTTATTGTAACGGATACGTTTCTGTTACGGACGGTGTATATGGTACCAGAAACTTTACTGTAGGATATGCTGTCATGTAACCGATGATTTAGTGTGACAGCAGCGTAGGTGCGGTTGATGCTCAGCTCTCCATTGGCCATCTTCTTCTTGTGGCTAAAGCATTCTTCGGACAGACTTTTTTTTGTCTGCTCTGGAAGACCATTTCCTGTTGGTGGTTCCTTCCTGTAGTAGTTTCATTTCTGGTATTTTGTTTCCCGCGATTGATGTTTTTACCGTGGTAGTTTCCTTAATTCCTCCGGCATTCTATTTGCTGTGATTAATTTGTTTCTGCAGTAGCGATTCCATCCTGTAGTAGGATGCATCCTGTAGCTGATTCCTTTCTTTGGTAGGATGCATCCTGTAGCTGATTCCTTTCTTTGGTAGGATGCATCCTGTAGCTGATTCCTTTCTTTGGTAGGATGCATCCTGTAGCTGATGATGCTGCTGATCCCTTCTGTGGTAGCGATGCATCCTGGTAGCCTCTGATCTCTTGATCTGCGCAGGATTTATCCTGTAAGCAGATCCGCTTCCTGCTGGTAGCGCTAGGATGGCATCCTGTAGCTCTGATCCCTTAGCTGTGGCAGGCATGCATCCTGTCGCTGATCCCTTGCTGTGGCCCAAGAGTGCGATTCTGTAAGCCTGATCCCTTCCTGTGGTTAGGATGCATCCCTGTAGCTTGATCCTCTCTGTGGACATGGATGCATCCTGTTAGCTGATCCTTCCTGTGGTTAGGATGCCCATCCTGGTACGTGAATCTCCTTCCTGTGCGTAGGATTGCATAGCTGATAGACTGATCCCTTTGCTGTGGCAGGATGCAGTCCTGTAGCTGAATCATTCTGTCCCTGCTGGCTAGGATGCCATTCCTGTTAGCTGATCCCTTCCTTGTGGTAGGATCGCATCCTGATAGCTTATCCCTTCCTGTTGGTAGGTGCATCCTGTACTGATCCCTGCCCTGCCCGGCTAAGTGCGCTTCCGTAGTTAGACGCCTTCCGTGGTAGTCATTCGTTCCTGTGAGTCTTCTTTCTGCAAATGCCAGCAAACACCCTGCCCATGGCCTTATGTGGAAGCGCCCTTTTCCTTTCGTATTGCGGCTGCTCTTCTAATTCACGTGCGGATTACTATAGGCCAAGGCGGACTTCATTGTATCGGGTGAAGCTATTGCTAATCAGTCGCGTGTGAGATCTCGGGCGGTATCGTGTTGGCAGTTGCCGCTAGCGAATCGAGTGCTAATTCACGGTATATGGGCCGATCGATGCTGCTTTACTCGCGAACGAATCAAAATGATGAGCTCATCAATCGCAGGCCCGTTCTGTAGGCATATCTACCGGAATACAGGTTGAGTCCGTCGTGCAATTATTTCCACCAGTTTCACAGCCTAACCATATAACGCCGCTGCTTTCGCTACTGGTGTACATGACGATACTAGATGTAAAATATGTATGTGTAAGATGTACTGTCATATCGAGAATGTGTGATCTCGCGAAGTAGCGCCCTATGGGCTCTGTTGCCGCCTGCCTATTGAGCCACACTTCACCATCGTGGAAGTAAGGGCAAATGTTGGTCTTTCTGCTAACACGACCTCTCTTCGTTCCTACACGTATGTCACTGCAGCTATGCCGGGTGGCGACATCTTTTTCCCCCACATGGAGAGCTTCCCGGACCACAGCCAATTCAGCGCACTCCATGTCACCGACTCCTCGAAGCAACAATGTAAAATGGAATTACCCACTACGTCGCCCTAACCCGAACCCTAACACAAACTATACTCCAACCCAACATACTCTTATATATACCAAACCATATATTACAAAACCACTATCTAATGGCTTGGGTCCGGTAGTAAGCGTACATGAAGTATATAGCGAGCGTACATAGTACTAGTGCTACTAGCGAAGCACACAGCTATACTAGCTAGATATATAGCGAGCGAGCGTAATATAGCTGAGTACTATAGCGAGCGCTACGATAGCTATATAGCGAGCGAGTGATATAGCTGAGTAGTATTACTAGCGGGAGTCGTACCATAGTTATAGCGAGGGATATATAGCTAGTACTTATAGTATAGCGAGCGATTACAATACGTATATAGCGAGCGAGTATAATAGCTTAGTGCCTGCTGCAATCATCGAACTGAAACCTGCGCGTTTTACAAGGGACGGCCGTCCTGAGGTAAGCGAAACCACAACGCCAAACCCGGAGCGGCCCACCCGCAGCCGCGATCACGCTATGTGAGAAATGACCGAAGACCCCAGGCAGACCTGTCAGTGGGGCTCTCACAGGACGGCGTATACGAGTGTACACTGAGTATATAAGCGAAGCGAGGTAATATAGCTAGTGTCATAAGCGAGGAGTATATAGCTAGTATATAGTAAGCGTACATAGTACTAGGTATATAAGCGAGCGATTTATATAGGTCGTATATAGCGAGCGTAATAGTATATAGCGAGGGAGTATAGTCAGTTAGTAGTATTACACGAGCCGATGATACGTATAGCTTAGTATAATAGCGAGGCTGTACATAGACTATAGCGGACGCCGAGGATATATAGTAGTAGTATAGCGACGTGTAAATCAGTATCATGTGAGTGAGCGAGATAGTATAGCTAGTGTATTAACGAGCGTACAATAGCTATATAGCGAGCGAGTATATAGCCTAGTATATAGTGAGCGTAACAGTAGGTATACTAGCAGAGGGAGTATATAGCTAGTATATAGCCGAGCGGTAACATAGTATAACTAGCGAGGCGACGCTATATGAGCTTAAGTATTACTAACGGAGCGAGTACTATAGTAGTACTATAGCGAGCGTCTAACTAGACTATAGCGAGGGAAGATATAGGAGCTAGTATATACGAGCTAGTAGTAAGCTAGTTAATAGCGAGTGTGACATAGTATATAGCCGAGCGGAGTATATAGCTCAGTATCATTACACGAGCGAGAACTATAGCTAGATATATAGCGAGGCGTAGCATAGTAGTATAGCCGACGGAGTAATATAGACTAGTAGCTTATAACGAAGTAGTATACTAGCGTAGTGTATTATAGCGAGCTGTACATAGTAGTATATCGAGCTAGCCTATAAGCTAGTATTAGCGAGCTGTACACTAGATATATAGCGAGCTAGTAGTATAGCAGTACTTATAGCGAGTGTACATAGTATAATAGCGAGGGAGTATATAGCTAGTATATAACAAGCGAGTACTATAGCTAGTTTATTGTAGCGGAGCGGTACATAGTGCATATTAGTGAGCTCAGTATATCAAGCGAGTGTACATAGTATATAGCGGAGCATAGTAGTTAGCAGTATAGTAGCGAGTTGTACATAGTATATAGCGAGCGAGTTTCATAGCTAGTAAATGATTAGCGAGCATACATAGTACAATAGGCGAGTACCATAGTATATAGCGAGTGAGTACTTATGCTAGCTAAGTATAGCGAGCGACATAGTACTATAGCGAGCGATACATGAGTAATATTAGCGAGCAGATACATGGTCGTATAGCCGGGCGCACATAGCTCATACGCGAGCCGAGTACTATAACTAGTTACGTCTGGCTATAGCGAGCAATACATTCAGTAATATAGCGAGTGACTATATTGAGGTAGTATATAGGCGGAGCCGTACATGTTAGATATATAGCGAGTGATTATAGCAAGCGTAACATACGTACTTCATAGCGAGTGAGTGTGATAGCAAGCCGCTAGACATGGAGTATTATAGCGAAGCGAGTAATATAAGCTACGTATATAGCGAGCGTACCACAGACGAGTATATAGCGAGTGCGTTACCATATAATATGTAGCGAGACATACATGGTCTATAGCCGGCGCACATAGTCAATACAGCGAGCGGGGGGGGGACGTTAGTATACTAAGCTAGTAGTAGCGAGCGATACATAGTAAGGTTAACGTAGCGAAAGCGACCGTAGGTAGCTTAGTATTATCANCCTGTAGCTGATTCCTTTCTTTGGTAGGATGCATCCTGTAGCTGATGATGCTGCTGATCCCTTCCTGTGGTAGGATGCATCCTGTAGCTGATCTCTTGATCTGGCAGGATTTATCCTGTAGCTGATCCCTTCCTGTGGTAGCTAGGATGCATCCTGTAGCTGATCCCTTGCTGTGGCAGGATGCATCCTGTAGCTGATCCCTTGCTGTGGCAAGATGCATTCTGTAGCTGATCCCTTCCTGTGGTAGGATGCATCCTGTAGCTGATCCCTTGCTGTGGCAGGATGCATCCTGTAGCTGATCCCTTCCTGTGGTAGGATGCATCCTGTAGCTGATCTCTTCCTGTGGTAGGATGCATGCTGTAGCTGATCCCTTGCTGTGGCAGGATGCATCCTGTAGCTGATCTCTTCCTGTGGTAGGATGCATCCTGTAGCTGATCCCTTCCTGTGGTAGGATGCATCCTGTAGCTTATCCCTTCCTGTGGTAGGATGCATCCTGTAGCTGATCCCTTCCTGTGGTAGGATGCATCCTGTAGCTGACCCCTTCCTGTGATAGGATGCATCCTGTAGCTGATCCCTTTCTGTGGTAGGATGCATCCTGTAGCTGATCCCTTCCTGTGGTAGGATGCATCCTGTAGCTTATTCCTTCCTGTGGTAGGATGCATCCTGTAGCTGATCCCTGCCTGCGGCTAATGCGCTTCCGTAGTAGACGCCTTCCTGTGGTAGTATTCTTCCTGTGAGTCTTCTTTCTGCAAATGCAGCAACACCTGCATGCCTGTGGAAGGCTCTTTCCTTCGTATTGCGGCTGCTTTCTATTCACGTGGATTATATAGCAAAGGCGGCTTAATTGTATCGGTAGCTAGCTATCAGTCGCTGTGAGTCTCGGCGGTCGTGTTGGCAGTTGCGCTAGCGAATCGATGCTAATTCACGGTATATGGGCGATCGATGGTGCTTTACTCGCGAACGAATCAATGAGAGCTCATCAATCGAGGCGTTCTGTGGATATCTACCGAAAAGGTAGTCCGTCGTGCAATTATCCACCAGTTTCACAAGCTAACCATATAACGCCGTGCTATTCGCTACTGTGTAATGAGTATAAGATGTAAAATATGTATGTGTAAGATGTACTGTCTATGAGTATGTGTGATCTGCGAAGTAGGCCCTATGTCTCTGCGCCTGCCTATGAGCACACTTCACCATCGTGGAAGTAAGGCAATGTTGTCTCTCTGCTAACTTGACTCTCTTCGTTCTACAGTATTCCTGCAGCTATGCGGGTGGCGAAATTTTTTTCCCCACGAGTGTTCCGGGCCACAGCCAATCAGAGCACTCCATTCACTCGACTTCCTCAGCAACAATGTAAAATGAATACCCACTATCCTTACCCGAAAAACTATAATCCAACCATATATATATATACAAACCATATATTACAAAACACTATCTATGGTGGGTCCGGTAGTAAGCGTACATAGTATATAGCGAGCGTACATAGTACTAGTGTATAGCGAGCAAGTATATAGCTAGTATATAGCGAGCGAGTATATAGCTAGTATATAGCGAGCGTACATAGTATATAGCGAGCGAGTATATAGCTAGTATTATATATAGCGAGCGTACATAGTATATAGCGAGCGAGTATATAGCTAGTAGTATATAGCGAGTGTACATAGTATATAGCGAGCGAGTATATAGCTAGTATTATATATAGCGAGCGTACATAGTATATAGCAAGCGTACATAGTATATAGCTAGCGTACATAGTATATAGCAAGCGAGTATATAGCTAGAATATAGCGAGCGAGTATATAGCTAGTATATAGCGAGCGAGTTTATAGCTAGTATATAGCGAGCGTACATAGTATATAGCGAGCGAGTATATAGCTAGTATATAGCGAGTGTACATAGTATATAGCGAGCGAGTATATAGCTAGTATATAGCGAGCGAGTTTATAGCTAGTATATAGTAAGCGTACATAGTATATAGCGAGCGTACATAGTACTAGTATATAGCGAGCGAGTATATAGCTAGTATATAGCGAGCGTACACAGTATATAGCGGGCGAGTATATAGTTGACTCTCTCGAGCAGTGTAATAATGATTCTCTTACTATCATGTTACCCGTGATCGTCTAGGGTTCTGCGCATATTATTAAGATCATGACCGCTGTACACAATCTTACAAGAGGCACCTCACACTGATTACGTAGTTTAAGCACATGCATGCTTTACTGTTATCGATAACGTATACATCAGAGAGGATTGTGGCCTCCTTAACCGGAGGCTGAACATTATACAGAATAGGTACGCCGTCATAACAACATAAACTTACATTATCAGTGGCCGTTTGCTCGAACTAGCCGATGAACAACAGTACTAATTATAAGTCTAACGTATCGTCTCAATCACAAATACGGCAGAGAGGCGGTCAAGCCCGCAGGGCTGCGTGAACAAAGGCTATATACGCCGTGCTATAACTATTGTTTTTAGGTTATGGGCACGGGTGGCGTGGGTAGCCTCTCTCATTGCGGCACGACGTACGGGGTCAGTCTGCGTGCCACGCTGCCAAAGGCTTGCCCTGTAGCGGACTACCGTTGGTTATTCACGCCCAATTAATACAATTTCTGCTTCTTTAAAGATCGTTACGCGGTCTGGCCCGGGCCCCGCGCCCGGTTTATCTCCTCTCTTTATTTCTGTATTACAACTTCCCTTAGCATATGACTAGTTGGGAAGCCGTACTATTGGCGGCGAACAAACTCTGTTAACGTTGGGATGCTGCTTTTAATACGTATATTTTTTAACTTTTTTTTGTAAACCAGCGGAAAGACTAAATATCTGTGCATCTAAAACTTTACTCTTCTCTATTATCTCATTCTTCCTTGTTTTGCCTTCTTTATGGCTATGCATACTATTTCCAATTTTTAATTTGTTTTATTAAAACACCTCACCTACTTTACTTAACTAAACTAAAGATAAATTCTTTAACTAACAATGGATTTTTATTTTTAACTTATCCTTCTATTAAACATGTATTTTCTGTTATATAATATGAAAATCCACGAAGTCGCCGTCTCCCCCTCGTGGTCGTTGGTGTGGGGTCGTGTCGTCGCTGGGTGGTCGTAAGTCTCCGTGGTTCGTCGTCAGGATAGCTCGTGTGCAACTGGCGGTGCTCCATGGCTTTCGGGTCAGTTGTAAAGTCCTCCGTCTCGTCGTCGTTGTCCCTGCTGGCGTCGCGGTCGTCGTTGTGGTTGTCGTCGTGGCGGTCCGCACGACCGTGCGGGAGGGTAAAACTGACTCGCCAGAATCGGCTCGTGCGTCGGGTCTCCTTGTGAGCTCGGCACCTGGTTGGTGGCAGAGCTTACGTACTGTCGATATGACGTGGTTCGCTCGATGTCGGCTATTGTCCCACCGATATCTGTCTTTCTTTGCACCCTACCATCATCAATTGCTGGTATAGTGACTGCAGGTCTCAACAAAGGATAGTGTTAACGTAACATAGTAATACAACGGTGATTAGTGGCAACTTGACTAAGGCGTGCTTAAGCAACAATAAACAATGCATTTAAAAGTATGTGAGTTAAGTGCGTCGTACAAATTTGTGCTAAACATGGTGAAACATACCGTGTAATAGTGAATACATATAGTCCAGTTACGGTGAATCATACAGTGTACTACATGGTGCTGGGATACAAACCATGTGTTTGTTATACCTAAGTGAACACAATACAGCGCACGTACACATTGTTCTTATACATTACGGTGTATTCTGTCTGCAGACTTCTTCTTAGCGATACTCTAGTTTCCTCGTCATTTTATCGTATTATCGGCCTCGCAATAAGCAACCTCGAGTTTACTCTATCATCATCAATCATTTCATCATCAATCGTGGCGGAAGGAAAATAGGGGTTCGCGGGGTTGGAGATGGGCTGTAAACCCGCTTGAAAGGTGGGCTTACAATGTTGTTGGGTGACATAGGATAATGACACTGAAAGACAACATTGTCGTATACGCTCGCTCAGACCCACATCGAAGTTGAGCCCACTCCCCCTTGCTCTGCGCATACACCCTTGATAAAGAACGCAAGGAGTTATTAGAGCTTTGTTTGGCTTGAACTATCTATCAACTGGTCTATATTTAGCAGTGACGCCGTTAATGAAACAAGTTATCCCCTTAGTTGTGGGTGGATACCGTTCATCTGGCCTCGGGCTCGTCACTGTGTGCCATCGTCATGGCTCTCCTTAATGTGTCGGCATGGTTGTCAATAATGCCCCAGGATCGCGATTCCTGTTGGCATCATTGTGTGTGCCTCTGTCGCTGCTTCCTGCCTACTCGCACAGTCCTTGATCAGAGGTGTCCGAGTGGAGGCCCGGACGTAATGATTACTGCAATCGGCATTGCGCTGGTACTAACCTTGCTACGGTACGAGCATCGCTATCACATAGTTACTTTCAGATGAAGCCTGTTTGTCGCTGGTGGCATGGCTTCATCCCCTGAATCCGAATCGTCACTGGATGTGGAAGCTCCGCTCACCGTTAGATAGGCATAGCTTTGCTGCCGCAGTGGTTTGCTTCCTGTAGCCTTTGCCGTTGCACTCCCTAGTGTGGCTTCGCTGCTTGGCTTCAGTAATGGATTCAGTTATGGCNTTTGTGGCTTCATCTCATCATCTTATCATATCATATCATCTTCTCATTCTATTATCATATCATGTTATCATATCATCATAAACATTTGTGGCTTCATCTTATCATTTTATCATATCATATCATCTTCCCATTCTATCATCCTATCATGTTATCATATCATCATCATAGCATTTGTGGCTTCATCTTATCATTTTATCATATCATATCATCTTCTCATTCTATTATCATATCATGTTATCATATCATCATCATAGCATTTGTGGCTTCATCTTATCATTTTATCAGTATATCATAGCCTCTTGTCATTATCATATCATATCATTATCATTATCATTATCGTATCATTATAATCTTATCATCTTATCATCTTATCATCATATCATCTTATTATCATATCATATTATCATCATATCATCTTATTATCATATCATCTTATCATCTTATCTTCATATCATCATATCATCTTATTATCATATCATCATATCATCATATCATCTTATCATCATCTCATCATATCATTATCATCTCATTATCATTATCATTATCACCATGCGAGGTAACATGGGGTCGCAGGGTCACACGCAATCTGGCTAGCCTTGCTGCACTGCGCGCGAGCTCGTTAATTAAACGATGCATTGTCCATTCCAACCGCTTCCATTGAGCTGTCACAGACTGGTTCTGCTTGTGCGCTGACCGACCACACAATAGGGTGGAAATTTGCAGCTTGCATAATGGCGTGAGATGGCCTCGAAATGGCGGCCGCGGAATGGTACGTTTGGCGTGTTGACCAAAGACGGGTGCGGAATTGGTGCGTGACCAGCGTGGCAGAGATGGTGACAGTGGTGGTGGTGGGCCTAGCGGCTTAGGTTGAGGGTTGAACAAAGGAATAACGGTACGCATATATTCCGGGTAGGGCCCAGGTGGTACGACGTATAGACAATGCTCTTTGTTCCCGAGCATTAGTTGGTTGGGGCCAATGTTAGCGTGCGTAATACGTAGGCAGTGGCGTGGTGAGTAACATAAATAAAGGCTTGATACCCACGATATCATATAGCATACGGCATACGCTCGGCCAAAATATGCATGAGCAATCGCATGAGAAAACACAGAAATATGCAGACACTATACCTCCGTAGCTATTTATAAGAACGACGATGTACTTACAACATGATGCGACGATAGTAGTGAACAAGCTGTCGATCTGCTGAGACTGTACAGGTCGGGTACGTTCCTTGAGTGTGTCGATGGATATCTCAAGACAAAGTCACATGGGTTAGCACTGACATATAACAGATAAAACAATTCTGAACAGTTACGAAGTTCATTTAGTAACATACGCGCTGAGCACCTAGTACCATTGTAATGCGTACAACGATGGTGGTAGTGATATAAGTGACTTCGAATCGTGCGCTCTCGTCACTGCAGCTCGTCGACTCACAATCTCAAAGAAAACACATTTTTAATACATAAAATACAGCACATAATTCATGCTACAACGATATATCGATACGCAGTGGTCACGTGCACCAATGTAATAATGATTCTCTTACTATCATGTTAGCCGTGATCGTCTAGGGTTCTGCGCATATTATTAAGATATACCGCTGTACACATCTTACAAAGCACTCAACACTGATGTACGTAGTTTAAGCACAAGCATCTTTACTGGTTATGATAACGTATACATAGAAGGTGTGCCCCTGTACGGAGCTGAAACATATACAGATAGGTACGCGTCATACAACATAAACTTACATATCAGGCGTTTGCTCGAACTAGCCGTGAACGCAACAGTACTACTATACGTCTACGTATCGTCTGAATCGCAAATAGCAGAGAGCGGTCAGCACGCCGGGCTGCGTGAACAAAGGCTATATACGCCGTGCTAATCTATTGTTTTAGGTTATGGGCACGGTGCGTGGGTAGCTCTCTCATTGGCGGCCACGTACGGGGTCAGCTGCGTGTCCACGCCAAAGGCTTGCCCTGTACGCGGACTACCGTTGGTTAGAGAGGAGATAACGGTAACGATAAAGAAGGCAGAAATAGTATAATGGCGTAATATTTCTGTATTACAGCAGTATGCCGGTGCGTACGGCTGCGTCTTGGCGTTGCTCCATTCCAACTGAGTTTTGGCAGTCGATGTGGCCATTATCTGTGCCCACATCGTGCTGATTCAACGTATAAGTGTGCGTAGCTGAGCTGATTCAATGCTTGAGGATTGTTAGATGCGAGGATCAAGCATATAATGGTTTTTTTTCCCGTGCATTGACTCACAATAGCAAGATGGCAGCTTACAGCATCAAACATAAACATTGCTGTTAGGACTGCCATCTATTGGCATTTGCTGATCAAACCTGAAATGAAGCTAACTGGAGTGCAACGATTGGTGATTTTAGGCGCATTTGTTGCCATATGCCGTCAGGCCTTGATGCCTACGGTGGCCCAGAGGGACAAAACACAGCCAGCAGTTCCATCTGCCACTTCTGCTCTAGGTGCCATTAATGCACTCCTGAGGCGGGGACGGATTGCTCAGCTTTCCAGCCGGCGGTACATTATCCACCGTTCGGTATGGCTGGCTGTATTGCTCATCTTGCTGGCTGGAGACGTGGCACACAACCCTGGACCTGTGGCAGTCTACCCAGGACCTCCCCCATCTACACCACCTCATCACCTCTTTGATGGACCAAAAAAAGGCATCACCATGGTCCACTGGAACGTCCAGTCGTTGTATGGGAAAATGTCAGAGCTTCGAGTGTAGTTCTTTGACCATCCCGTGCATCTGGTCGGTGTGACTGAGACCCACCTCAACCACACGATTTTAGAACATGAGATTGACCTTCCAGGATACCGTTCTTACCGTAGAGACCGGAACATGGGTGGAGGTGGAGTCCTTCTCTACATCGTGGACAACATTCCTTGTCTTCGACGTAAAGATCTTGAATCAGCACATGTCGAATCAATCTGGATGGAGATCCGGCGCCCTCACGTCAGCCCTTTCCTGCTGTGTGTGGCATACCGCCCTCCCAGTTCCCTTGTAGGCTGGATTGCTGATTTTGAGCAGCAGGTTGAAAGAGCTTTTCTGGAGCAGATGGAAACCATCCTGATGGGTGACTTCAATTTTGATTTCCTGAAGTCGGACCATGAGGACCCCAATTGGTGGCAGTCTATGACAGCGTTTGGTCTCCACCAGCTCATCACCTGGCCGACTCGCGTGACTGATGTGAGTTCCACATGTCTTGATCATGTCTACGTCAATCATCCTGAATTATACTCTGCAACTCGCCTTCAATCAGGCCTGAGTGACCATGACCCGGTCATGGTTAATCGGTTGCTTGGCCATGTGAACAAACCGTCCACCCACATAAAAATTCAATACCGTAGATTCAAGAACATGGACTCAGATGCATTCATACGCGACTTGGCTTGTGCGCCCTGGGACCTGGTTGACATGTTCGACGACGACCCTGAAGATGCTCTTCGGACTTGGTGTTTGCTTCTACAATCTGTTATCGACGAACATGCCCCTCTGGTGGAGAAGAGGGTCAAGAAGCATCGCCAGGAGCCCTGGATGTCTGAGGACATCCTGCAGACAATCCAGCAGCGTGACATGATGAAGAAGGAAGGACGATGGCCTGATTACCGCCAAATCAGAAACCAAGTTAAATTGTTGATCCTGGAGGCGAAGAAAGATCACTACAGAAATCTGATTTAGGCGGGCCACCGTACTACAGCTGAGATTTGGAGGTATCTCAAGGATCTATGTCCATCGAAACCACCGCACCAGTTTCTTCCACCAAGTTCCGCCGACTCAAAGGAGACAGCTGACGACCTGAACCTGTTTTTTTGCGTCAGTGGCGGACCGCCTACAGGAGAGAGACCTAAATACTGCGCAACCTAACCTTGTCAGCCTGAGCGACTTTGTCAAGCAAAAAGTCGGTGCTGACACTTATTTTAGTATTCCGGCCATACCTACTTATTTTGTAAGTCAGTATATCACCGACCTTGACACTTGTAAGGCCGTTGGATTAGATGGAATAGATGCGCGTTTTCTTAAACTCGGATCACGTGTCTTAGCTCCCTCATTGGCAAAAGTGTTAAATATATGCATGTATTTCAAAAAATACTTTCCCGTCCGAGTGGAAAGTTGCTAAAGTATATGCCTTATTCAAAACTGGGTCGACTTCTGACATGAACAATTTTAGGCCTATATCTGTCTTACCTATCCTGAGCAAGCTCATTGAAAGACATGTGCATGATTGTTTATACTCATTTTTCAACAGCACAATCTCTTATCCAAGTAAAATTAGTATCAATCTGGTTTTAGGAAAGGCTTCTCCTGTGAGTCTGCTCTCATCAACCTCACTGACATTTTTTACAAATGCATCGACTATATGCTGAACATCGACTGCATGCTGCATGCATGCATCGACTGCATGCTGAATATCGACTGCATGCTGAACATATTTTATCTGGAGTTAATTGTCCTACTTGATTCTCGTAAAGCCTTTGATCCCGTTGATCACTCTCTTACTTAAAAAGCTGAAAATTTATAGATGTGATGATGCAGCAATGAAATTTTTCGAGTTTTTTATCTAACAGATACTCCAAAGTATTTCTTAATGGGTCATTATCAGCTGAAGTGCCCATATCCGTTGGTGTCCCGCAAGGTTCTATTTTGGGGCCCCTATTTTTTATTATGTTTATAAATGACATGCCCCTGCACATTAACAATGCCAGTATTCATATGTATGCTGACGACTCCATGCACCGTTGTTGTTACTGGCAAATCTTTACCTAACCTGGAACAGCGTCTAAATAACAATATGGAGGAAGTTCGTGAGTGCATGGTGTTCTAAAAACAAAATGGTCATCAATCCATCGAACACCAAAACCATGCTGGTCACTTCCAGGCAGAAGCGTTCTACGCTCCCATCCGCGGTACTCCATACTGTCTATGATGGCTCTGTTCTTCCCACCACGTCGAGTGAGAAAATTTTAGGTATCCATGTTGATGATAATCTCACGTTTGAAGAACACATAATGAACGTGTGTGCCAAGATCTCAAAAAAGCTGGCACTGTTTTGGCGGATCAGGAAATTTCTCGACCATGATTCCTGCCTGAAGTTTTACTTTGGCTTTGTTTTGCCTGATATTGATTATGATATTGTTGTGTGGGGAAATGCCGCGAAGAGTTATATTGACAAGTTTTTAACCTGCAGAAACGTTTTGTGCGGTTGATTCTTAACATTCGTAGACCTTCAGACGCCCGCATTGAATAAATCTTTTTGCAGCTAGGTTTTATGACTGTTCGCCAACGTTTTTATTACCATCGATCTCTTTTAACATACAAATTTTTTTACTTTTAAACATGAAGTGAGCTCCAGACGGACGCGTAGTGTGTGTGCATATGAAGCGCGTTTGCATATCCGCCCCGTGCACGCACTGAAATGCTACGAAAATCTTTTCGGTGTGCGGCGGCATCTGAATGGAATAATTTTCCTCCTGACGTTCGAGATGCCCCCACCATTTCTTCTTTTAAAGTCCGTCTAAAGAAAATCTTGCCTTATCAATAGGGCCCATTGTGCTCTACTTACCCCGTACAATTTTAGTCAAAGTATTTCAACTCTTATTGTGTATTTATTTAATATTTAACCATTTTGTTGCTGTGAGACGGCCATGTGGAAGATAGGTCCGCGCCAATTTATTGTGTCTGTACCTAACATGTTTTACCATCGTTAAATAAAGTTTTTACTTACTTACTTACTAGCTAGTATATAGCGAGCGAGTATGTAGCTAGTATATAGCGAGCGCACATAGTATATATATAGCGAGCGAGCATATAGCTAGTATATAGCGAGCGTACATAGTATATAACGAGCGAGTATATAGCTAGTATATAGTGAGCGCACATAGTATATAGCGAGCTAGTATATAGCGAGCTAGTATATAGCTAGTATATAGCGAGCGTACATAGTATATAGCGAGCGAGTATATAGCTAGTATATAACGAGCGAGTATATAGCTAGTATATAGCGAGCGTACATAGTATATAGCGAGCGAGTATATAGCTAGTATATAGCGAGTGAGTATGTGGCTAGTATATAGCGAGCGAGTATATAGCGAGTATATAGCTAGTATATAGCGAGCGTACATAGTATATAGCGAGCGAGTATATAGCTAGTATATAGCGAGCAAGTATATAGCTAGTATATAGCGAGCGTACATAGTATATAGCGAGCGTACACAGTACTAGTATATAGCGAGCGTACATAGTATATATAGCGGGCGTACATAGTAGGCGCTTGCGCTTGCGCTGGAGCGCTGCTCATGATCAGAAAGAGTGCTCGTGCGCCGAGATGTTAATTTCACTCTACTCGTGAGTCTCGCGAGTCTTGTCCCTCAGCGTATAAATATGGGGGGCAGGCCTAATAAGAGACCAATATCCGCGCGTTCCCAGCGCCCAAGGATGCGTCGGCTCGGCGCCTAATTCATTCAATCAGTGCTAACATAGTATCGATATAAGGAGAGTTTGACCCGCGATATACATAGCAGATTCACTATCCGTGCCAGGGTAGCGGCTCGAAAAGCATCGACCGTGACATCGAGCTGGGTTAACATATGGGTGCTTCTGAGCTATTGAGTAATATTTTTGTGACAACATCTTTCAAAATAAAAAAATGTATTCTGTACTGTATAGGCCCTGATTATAGATGATGTATTAAAATTTTAGAAAAGCTTCGTTAGAAAATAGTTTTGAGTACATTATATATAACAAGTGCCGCAGCAGCGGCAGGCGCTCATCTGGTGTCTGGTTTCTGCTGATAATTCATTTGTGCATAGCAAGACGTCCTATAAACATACGTTCAGTTTTCTGAACCCAAAAAAACAACACTTTCAAAGCTAGTGGTAATAAATTCTGATAGATCGTGGGCGCGCTTATCAAGGCATCGTGCGGTCAGACAAAGCATTGCAGCAATGGCAGCTGTCAGTGTGAGCGACGGATTGCACAAAAGCAAGGGCGAATAATTACCGGATATTATACTATACGCATAACGTGCGTTCTATGGTGTCAGGTAATAAGGTAGCCATAAACCCCTTGGCCGAGGGCACATGCTGGGCTCGGTTAAAAAATAGTAATGTTGATAGCAACCAGAGGCGAGGCAGCTCGTGCAAGTTACAATTTAGCAGCAATACGATAGCAATATCTCTAAACTAATTGAGCTAACAAGGTAGGCAGATGATTAGTGGAGCGAAGTAAGCTCAAGAACATACACACCTTGCGTGCTATATTGGCAGTCTTCGACGTAGGCGGTGGACGTGGTCCGAGACCGACCAAAATCTCTCTCGGTCCAGTAAATTTTAAGCAAGTTCAATGGACGTCGTCCACCCTGTGTTTTGCAGCCACTTAGTTACATATTTAAATAATTTATCAAAGTATTTATGAGACTCTAACTACTTACTGTATACATATACTGAGAAAAAACCGCATCTAAGCATTATCAAACGAACACGGCTTCGTGTTTTGCTTTTCATCTAATCCATTATAACTCGAAGATAAACGAAACGGTTGTAAACATCACGGAGCATTGCCGGAAGTCGGCTTTCACAATGTTTATAACGACAGTTGTATCGCTATACCAACAGCAGTCCTTTAACATCAATATCATCCGCTCATCATTTATTTATCACCGACGAAAGCTTGGAACGTATCGTTGACTCTGGTATTCTAACCGTTACACACTGAACCGTAAAGCACACACATCGACCGTCGTTAACTCACAAAGCGCTACTGCCTGCGTTGACTGCTTTGCACGCGAACCCACCCAAAACCAAAACCAAACAAACCAAAACCGTCCGGCCTATACATACGAGCATACAATGATGAATATGACTGTTTACTGGTATTCAATTGCTACAGCAGATCGAGACTGGTGATGAAGATGCAGCTGACAATGAAAATTAAAAAGCTGATTAAGGTTTTTAGTGAAGTTTTATTGGCAACATGTATGTTTTCTTGAAATAAACTGAAAATACCTCAAATTGACAAAAATGCAAACAAAGTGACTGACTGATTATGATGTTGGCAATACTATTAAAGTTTTAATAGTCCTGCTTTAAAAAATTGAGTGTTGTTCCTTTTTGACTAAACATGCTAAATGTGTTATTCAAGTTATCCATGCAATATGTTCAAGAACTGATATTTTGTTAGATGAAAAAAAAATCAGCCTATGGATTTCATGAAGTCTAGATTTCAAATTTTCCGGGGGCCATGCCCCGAACGCGCCCTAGTTTTGCCTCGTGACCTGCGGCATCGGATGCAAATCAACACTCCGAGCACATCGGCAAGCCAAGGTCGTGATTTTCACTCGCCTGCCTTTTTCAAAACACAAGGACTGATACACTTTTTAAACTTTGTTTCATCGCTAACCAAACGTCATAGGTATTCTTACTGTCATCATAGCAGTGTGTAGAAGCAAGAAGGTATATGATGAATATTTGATAGGTATTCCTACTGTTATCATTGCAGTGTGTAGAAGGCATGTGATGTATATTTGATAGGTATATTGCTGTTATCATAGCAGGTGGTAAGAAGGTATTATTCTAGGTAAAATACAAATGATATTACTGTTTTGTTCTTTATTGTCACAATGTCAAAATAATTATTGGTCCAGTAACAATTTCAGTCCGGTCCAGTAAATTTTGCTGGCTTGGTGGACCGAAGGTCCAGTGTTTAAAAATTTCATTCGTGAAGACTGTATTGGTGCCAAAATTTGATGAGAAAATTAAGTCTGGGAAATCCGCAGACTTACTCCTGGGTAATTATTTGAGTGCTAGTGACTGTTTCCAACTATTCATAATGTACACTACACGAACTTATATTATAAGTCATGTCAATTATCTCATAATAAGCGTTGTTCAAGTAAGTAGTTATGTGTGGAATTTCACTGTAAAATGGGAGCTTTCCACACCCACAGGTACTCGACAACGCAGTTGAGAACAAATCCATGTTTACCCCTCCTCTTGAGGGTCAAAAAGTTATCGACACTTACTCTTCACATGTCAGCGGAAAGTACATTTTATGTCCTTTCAATAAAGCCATAAAAATGCTAGGTCACCGCTGAAACAAAAAAGTTTTTCAAGCGCTCCGTCAGACCATGTCCTCGAAAAATGTCTAAAAATCTGCCCTGTGCCCCATTGACCTTTGACGCAGTGGCTCCAATTTGGCACAGTGATGGGCTTTTCCTACCATGATGCTATACACCGGACTAATCACGAGCCTAGGTCAAACCGTTTAGATTTGTGCCGCAATTCTGGCATTTCTCCCTATACCTTAAAGTTAAGGAGGGAATGTTCCCCTTTCTTTACACTCTTGATCTTTGACCTTTGACCCCAGCTTCGACATCCCAACTCGTTTTGACGATCCCGCCCCAACGTCCCGAATATCGTGACCGTACGTCAAGCGGTTAAGATTTGTGTGCCCAACTGTTGACGGAACGGACGGACGGAGGACGGACGCGGACGGAGCGGACGCCGGCCGGCGCGACGGAACGAGCTATGCGATTCTACAAGCTGCATCTGACTACGTCAGATGAGCTAAAAATTCAGATTTTGTATGAGATACTTTGAAAGTTACGGACGTTACTCAACAAGGTTTTGAAATAAAAATACAAGGGCTAAATTGAGGATGGATGTGAATTTACAATAAGTTAGATGCGTGCTGTGTGCCTATAATGATCATTTCTCAGAAATTATCATCTTGAACAGAATAATCATTAAATTGTCAGTGTTACGGAGCGTTACTAAATTTGTTGAATTCACAATTTTTATACACTAAGTATTGTAGACTTCTAAAACTGTGAAAGCATTGCAAGCATTGTATTACAATGTGAGCTACACTTTGTTTACTTTTAACATTGGAAGGTATGCCACAATTTTCGACAATATAGTAATCCGGACGTTACCATTGACAAATTGACGTGGAACGGACGTTAATTCTTGTGTAACGTCCGAATATAAACTTCAAATTAAGTTATTTACAATCAAACAAGGACACATTTGATGGCAGATATTGAAGAAACCTCCTTGTGAACACGATTATAATTATACATACAAAGAGGGAAAGTATTTGCTACATAATTTGTGTTGCAATCCTGATCGGACGTGACTTTGACTTTGACATAGCCCATGAACAAATGTGTGATCAAATGTATAGTAACGTCCGAGCGTATTTAATGTCAATATCTGACCATTCTCCACTTGATGATCGATATTTATATGTTTAAAGTCTGCATGCACAATACATGGATATTGACATGATATCATTTTCCATGCACAATGTATTTAAAGATTTTGTTGAAAAAAATAACGTCCGAGGCGTAGGGCTATAGTACCAGTACGGCAGTTGCAGTACGTACGTACGTACGTATGTCGTATTACGAGAGGCCGAGACCCTCTAATAACTTTAAGATGAGATGAATAAACACATTTACACAAAGAATTGCAATTATAGTGATATTATATGTTTATAGTAATGGTAAAATGTGTGTTTTTCATAGGAATATACATCAGAAAAAACTTACTACCGATCATGAACCAAAAAAGCTGGCGTTTGTTCTCTTGTTGACTCCCTAAGGGGAGAGTGACGTCACTACCGTGCGCCCCACCAATATCGCGTAGCCATCTCGGCTCCCGCGAGTTTCATCGGCAAATGAATTTGGAATGAAAATGAAAATGATTTGAAATGAAAATAAAAATGAAAATGAATTTTGAAATGAAAATGAAAATGAAAATAAAAATGATTTGAAATGAAATAAAATGAATTTGAATGGAAGTGAAATGAAAATGAATTTAAAATGAAAATGAAAATGAATTTGAAATGAAAATGAATTTGAAATGAAAATGAAAATGAATTTGGAATGAAAATGAAAATGAAAATGAATTTGGAATGAAAATGAATTTGAAATGAAAATGAATTTGAATAGAAATGAATTTGGAATAAAAATATCCGTAGCCATCTCGCCCACCATAGTATGGGGTTGCAATGTGTGATTCCGGAGGTAAGCACTAACTGTCACTAGGCAGTACAGACTCCAGGCCGAGGCCGTGTACAGTTAGTGTACGTGAGAGAGTGAGAGAGAGAGAGAGAGAGAGAGAGAGAGAGAGAGACAGACAGAAATGGAAAGAGAGAAAGAACGAGCGAGAGGATTTAGAATTGTGTTAATAATTCATAATTAGAGTATTGATCCTCGGCTTAACCCACACGTAGCACCTAAATTACGAGCTGCCTTAGAGGTGGTTGACGTCACTGATTCCCTGACGTTCGTCGCAGGGACTTTGGCTATCGATCCTGCGCCCGCACGCACGGTGATAACAGCTCCCGCCAAGTGTCGTGCGTTAATCCGAGCCTAGATGAAAGTTAGTCCGGGCTGATTTACGTTCTATCGAGCAGTACAGTTTGATATTATTGGTCAATTGAGGAAAATGTTTTTGTCCTGTCGCTTTCACAAAATGATAGAATGAGTTCATCATATATCGCTAAACCCTGATCGAGATCTAATCAAGAGCTAATAATACCTAGAGTGTACAACGGGAAAACGGGAAAATAGTGCTATTATCAGACAACAATTATTCTACTTTGCCTGCAAGTCTAGAATAATTTTATGGTATTGCATTAAGCAGTAATTCTTTGCTCTCTAAAACAGACCAACGCTTGTCAATACGATACTTCTAGGCTGAGATATTGGCTCCTAAACCTCCCCCCACATGCCTCACACGGCCTCGCATCCAGCTTATTCAGCAACCTAAACGCCTCTAAGCATTTTGGTATCACGCCTGGAAATCATTATCCATAGACGGTAATAATTACGAAAAAATTCCCATAAATCGCACAGGTTTTTCTACAAATAATAATTCCATCCTCTGAATATACGTCGCAAGTGACAATATATATGTTATTAACAAAAAAATTCTTCCATAATTTCTCTTGTAAACAAAACTTTTGCAGCGCACACGAGAAATAGCCTACTTACAACTGGAATTCGCACAAAAAGTAGGCTTTCTTTGGAAATTTATGGGCCGGCCCAGAAACGCACCTCGGACGAGCCGTTTACTTGTCGGATTCAGAATAGATTCTAGTTTGAAATTAACAATTGCAAACAATTATAATCTTTTCTAATAAGAAATAAAAATTCTAGCGTATGCAGACACTAACAAAGGAACTCATTCTCTAACCTATCCCAGCGGTGATTGGTCGGATTTGCCACCGTGATACCTTAAAGCAGATGAAATTTTTCGCTAAAAATTTTTCGCTTGCATATATGCTAACCTAAACACTTTTGTGAAGTCCCAGTAAAAAAAAAAAGTTTGCCGTGCATGCGAGTTACCATATATAGATGAATTCGTGTCACTGCGTCCGCTGTTATTCAGAGACCGGCCGGCTAAAACCTCGAATTTCGTCGACTTTCAAACTGCAATGCAAAGAAAATAGAAGTAGATATCAAATATCTGTTTCAATCACAACGGTGTAGTAGACACCTCACAATTAGAATTTAACAGTTTGAACTTTGACCCCTTGACCTCTGAATTTTAAGAATAAATGTCCTTACCCCATGTTTTCCTATATTTTCAATAGTTAATTGCTCATACTAAAAAGAACGTGGGGTCAGTCTGTCTCTATCAGCAGGTGGCAGCTCTATAGTAACATTCCATAGTAAACAGGCAATTAGCAGTTGTGGCATTTCTTATCAGAGAAAAAGTGTTGACCCCAAGTTGAGCTACTGGAATCCACAACCTGTGTGTTTCGTACAGGGCCTAGCTTTCCGGCACATATACAAGTATAAATGACGTAGAACTGATTTTTTTTCACTGAAAACCTGCGGTAAAGAGCAGCTCTGCTGATACTAATTCACACTGATCCCCCCCCCCCAGCAGCATTTTGGCTATGCCGGAAATTGCTGAATACAGATCGAGCAGGCAAACCAATCGCAAAATCGCTTGAAAAACAAGTAACATCTGCTCGTCGAAGGTCACGCAGTGCATGCAAGGGTCACTGCCAAGGTCGACGCAGCTCCGAAGCAGCTGGGGACAAGTGCTCTAGAAACATCTGTTTAAGAGCACTTTAGACTCGCTGCCACGCATACGAATGCAAGCAGCAGCGAGGCGATCGACGCCGACAACCATTTGAGCGGCGGTTGGATTTTCTCTAACTTCTCTGTCCTCTTCACAAGGAGACTGCATAAGTCGCCGACCTGGGTGCAAAGGGATGGCAGTGCCAAACCTGAGATACAACCGGCTGTAGAATCAAAGATAGGTCGCTTAGCTACGAAACCAGTCTGTCAAAGACTGCGCCGCCTGCCTAGTCTTACCTGTGGTGGTGCCGATCTCACGTGAGAAAACAAGGCTGCAGCATGCCCCCATGTACAGGGGAAGAAGTACGAGTTCGCTGTGTCCGCACGCACCTCCAGCAACCAGCCAGTCAGTCTGTAGAAGTACCTAGTAGCATAGGAGCAGAGTGGCTATATGCCCGTCAGCCAGCATATATCCGACGGCTGCCAGGCACGGTCTTCAATTTCCTAAATGCCCGGCAGTTTTTAATTTTCAGCGTTATTTCAAGTAAACAAGGGTTAGGGTTAGGGTTAAGGTTAAGGGGGGTTAGGGTTAAGGTTAGGGGGGGTTAGGGTTAGGAACTGCCGAGCATTTAGGAAATCAAAGACCGTGCCCGGCTGCCGGGCATATATAGCCACAAACCGTCGCAACAAGTTGTTCGCGCCTACATCTGCATGCATTCTCGTCACACACCGATCTGTACTATTAGTTAATCGGTAATCTCACTTAGAGTTAGAATGTAAGTTTTAGAACACACTGACAGAGTAGTGCGAGCAAGTGCCACTAGACCGCATTGTTGGCAGCCGCGCAAGCTCTAGAACTATAGCTTTTGGGGGGGGGGGGGGGGGGGTCAATGCTTTTCGTGTGGGGGGGGGTAGTTGTTTTTGGTAGCTTTTCGGGGGGTTCGGGGGGGGGGGAGAGCTATGGGCAGTCGTCTCAGTACCCATGCAGATACATACAGTAGCATGCCAACAGTGGTTTTATGCCATTTTTTCTGTACTTTTTTTTGCAAACAAAATGCATGCTATTAATTATAACAAGACTAAATTGTCCGAAATTTTGCAGCCAAAAAAAATCAGGTTCCATATGCTTTGTTTTCGATCGACACGAAAATAAGTTGGAAAATATTCGCATTTAATTACAATACACTTAAGGTATCACGCCTGGAAATCATTATCCATAGACGATAATACTTACGAAAAAATTCCCATAAATCAGCACAAGGTTTTTCTACAAATATAATTCATGCTCTGAATATACGTCGCAAGTGAACATATATATGTTATTAACAAAAAATTTTCCATCAAATTTCTCTTGTAAACAAAACTTTTGCAGCGCACACCGAGAATAGCCTACTTACAACTGGAATTCGCCAAACAAGTAGGCTTTCTTTGGAAATTTATGGGCGCGCCAGAAACGCACCTCGGCGAGCCGTTTTACATTGTGCGATTCAGAATAGATTACTAGTTTCTGAATTAACAATTGCAACACATTATAATCTTTTCTAATAAGAAATAAAAATTCTATGGCGTATGCAGACACTCCAAAAGACTCATATCTCTACACCTATCCCAGCGGTGATTGGTCGGTTGGCCATCGTGATACGTTTTGGCTATCGTTTTCCGTCGGCGCTTGAGCGGGCTGATAATTGATGTCACATGCCCATATTTGGTACTCGTTACTAGCTGCGTTTGAGGACTTAATTAAAAAAATATTGCGGCCTCCATCATGACGGGCATTAGCCTTGTGCTTAGGAAAGATTGGGAGATAAGGGCATAGCGATGCCCCAAAAGTCACTCCACCCTGCACCTGCACCCGAAATAACATTCATAAAATTATGGGCGGAAAAAACCGAAACTCTCACGAAGCAAACGTTAGAGGCGTTTTAGGTTGCTGAATAGGCGTGATGCCAGGCCGTGTGAGGCATGTGGGGGGTGAGGTTTAGGAGCCAATATCTCAGCCTAGGAGTATCGTATTGACAAGCGGTTGTCTTGTTTTAGAGAGGCAAAGAGAATTCTGCTTAACTGGGAATACATACAATTATTCTACGGACTGCGCAGGCAAAGTAGAATAATCATGTCGTGAAATAGCACTATTTTTCCCGTTTTTCCGTTGTACACTCTAGGTATTATTAGCTCTTGATCTAATGTCCTTCGCTGATAATATTGATAATACCCTGCATTTTGTTTTTTGTATTCAGTATTTTGCGCCTCACTTGGGAACACTTGGGGAAATAATAAAATGTACATTTCAAAATCAGAAGCCTATCAATAATTTGATGTTTTATTTTAAATGCGCTTGCAGTCCTTGCTTGCAACCACGCGAAGTTATTGCTCGTTTAATTGCGCGCTCATCTCTCATGCCCAGGCCATAGAGGTCCGCTGTCAGAAACATCGTAATGCCAATTTTAATGCTAAGGCAATGCTTACGACTGATGCTAATGTCACGAGAATAGCGCTGACAGAAACAGCAATTTGCGATGCGCAGTTACGAGAAAACTTACGATAACAGGGGCCTGTGGTCAGAAACTAAATTAGTCTTGCCACTATGATTCGTTAACCGTTGACAGAAATATCGTAAAGTTACGAGAATGAAAAACCATTTTGTAACTTTAAAACCAAAATTAAAAGAGCGCAATTACACATGGAAGTGCTTTTATAGTGATATTATATTCATATTTTTATCTTGATTAGTAAAACCGTTATTATCGTTGGTATAAAGCAACTAGAGTTCACGGAGAAAAATTTTATTACAATGAATTTATTGATTGAAATATAATAAGTTCATATTTTAATATTGAAATTTAATAAGTCACGCATTATGAATAATCTAACATGAACTAAATAAATTGTGTCAAATGCATGGAAAAAAAAGAACATGTTAAGTGTTATTTGTTTGATACGTCGATTAGATTTCTTGTTAATTACGCGAGCATACGAATTTCTAAAGATAGAATTCGGTAGAATGTACAGGCATTTTGCAGGAGATTTCATTCAGATTCTCAGTCTGACATCCGAAAACGGCCCCACAAACACATTTTCTCTTACAATTATACAAAAAAGTATTCCTATTGTTTTGACAAATAAACCCCCTCACGAAAGTTTTAACCCAACTCCGAAAATTATCCACCATACTCACCTCGTCTCACTTTGCTCCGCCTCCCACTACCATTACCTTCTATAACGTATAGATTTCCTACCGCCGTTCCATTACGCTGAAGAATTTTGTTCGTGTGACGAAAATATCCGGCGAATTTTGCTAGGGCAGGTATTGTGAATGTTATATGCGCCTTCGGTTGCGTCTGGCTATTCACGAGGAAACGAACTCGGAAGTCTCGTGAGACATGGGCAGCGACATTTTATATCGCGCGCAATTGGTAATCACTGCTCTGAATAATAGAGCTGTCAGTAATTGAGCTGCTCAGTAAGTACTTTGAGCTGTCAGTAACTTACGGCAGACGCATAGATGTCGCATGAAATGTCTGTCGTTAAATACTGGCTGATTTTCTGCAACTGGTTGGAACTCGCTGCGACGAACGCGTCGCAGGCACAGTTCGACCTCCTGAGATTGCTATAGCGACGGGTCTGCGACGCTCAGCGACTGAAAAAAGCCGCGCCTTAACAATACGGGACCTAATTGCCGAAAATACATGCTGAAATTCGTTTTGGCTTTGAGTCAATTTCGTGTGTCAATAATTCGCCTTTTGATACATTCAGGCCGTTCTCGATGTGAATGAATTCCGTCTGAACCTGTCACTGTTGATGGGCAGTTTCAATTTGCTTAGTTTTGCGACTAAAACATCTGTGTGTTCTCTGATAGGCGACCCCGTCATTCGAAAACTTGTTATAGCATCTCGCAGCTGCGCGGGTGGCGTTAGCGGAGCTGTACATCCATAGCGGTTTAAAGTCGTGTGAATTTAACGAGCCGCGCGGCGCTGACAATTAGAGAGACGAGAAGAACGGCGAGCGAAAAGTATTTTCCTACTTTCTACGCGGCGCGTGTATAACGCAGCTGAGTTTGCTAGCGGCGTGGCGCTGCAGAAATACGACTGGCGGTGGTGGCGCCATATGGTGTGCACGCGGAGAACTATGGAAACTTGCTGTGTCGCGCGGTCGATTATTGCTGCTGTTGCTGCTGTTGTTGTTGTTGTTGTTACTGCTGCTGCTGCTATTGGTGGCATCGCGGCGAGCGCTGTTAACGTTACTGCGATCATGCAAGCGATTCTAATGCTCGTTTCGGCAATGTGCGGCCTCTCTTGTAAACACCGTCGCACAACCGAGCATCGCGGCATGCCGGCCGTAGCACCACGGTCATCGTCCCCGCCGCGTCCCCTCCCTCCCTGCCGACCACTCTTTGTGATTTCAGTTGAATAAGAAATTCCATTAGTGGCCTCGCGGGGCACGACTTCAGTCCAGATTTCCCTCGTGTGCGGAGCGATCCGGTGCTACACGCCGGTGCACTCCGGTCCACTCACTCGCCATCCGTTGCTCTCGCGATCTCGCAACGAGTGCTGCAGCTGGTTAAAGGAATAATAGGTCCATTGATTATGCAATGTTGACGAATGCTAGAGTAACTGGCACCTTGTGTAGTTAATAAGTAGGGCCTACATTACCTTATAGCCAAACGCGTATTAGTTTGTCCAATATCACTGCTGGTTACATTACAAACTAGAGCACTCGGAAAGCGCAGACCTCCGCCAAGGCAGCTCTGTGAAAAATGTTATTAATTAATTAATTAATTAAATAATTAATTGCATCCGGATCACCACCAAAATGTAATCAATTCTAAGTTAGCCCATTTCTGACCTATACTGAAATTTTTATGACAATCCGTCCATAACTTTTTTAGTTAGGCTGTACACAAAGAAACAAACGCACAAACCCACAAACCAACAAACGCCGGTGAAAACATAACCTTCTGCCAACCCCTTGGCGGAGGTAACAAGACCTGAAATCGGTTGTTGATATGTATCAACGTATCATTTACGTGCCGTAAATGTCATCCAGGAGTCAAGCGATTACGTAAACATTTGTGCGGCCCGTATGTTTTGGACGCCAGATGAAATGGAGGTGTCAGCGGTGTAACCACGGCCACGGACTAAACATGGAAATAGAGTAAAACACACGTACTAATCACGGACGCACGTGGACAGCCCTGACAAAAAGTTCCTTATCACGATCGTCCATGTTTACGAAATCACTGATGATAGCATTGCGTACGGGAAATGCTATCCCCCGGCCGTGGAGGGACAGTACCGCAATGTGGCAGCACTAGTGTTAGGATTAGGGTTAGGGTTAGGGTTAGTGTTAGTGTTAGGGTTAGGGTTAGTGTTAGTGTTAGGGTTAGGGTTAGGGATATAAGGCCATGTCTAGTACGGAAGTATGACTGTGGAATCTTTCTGTGGAAGATTTGGACTTTGAAGTATACGTCAACAGTATCACGTGACTGTCCCTCTACGCACGGGGATAGCAACACCTATTGCGTACGGCCGAGCACGCGTGCGAAAATGTCCGGTGCACTATAAATCTGTATCACATCCGCTTCGCCCGGCAGCGGTTTGAAACTGTAAACAACTGATATTTGGACTGCGGATTTCAATTAGACATTTCTTAGTAACCAGGCTATAAGGTAATGTACTTATTAACTACACAAGGTGCCAGTTACTCTAGCATTCGTTAACATTGCATAATCAATGGACCTATTATTCCTTTAACGATTGACCGACTGGCTAGGGACAGGGGTTATTGCATGCGTGAGTGAGCAGTGAAGGAGTGAGAATGAATAAAGGAAAGTGCAAGATAGAAGTTGAGATGCAATAAACACGAGAGAAAGAGAAAGAGGAAAACGGGAGGAGGGAGAGTGGGGCGGAGAGAGGGCGAGAGGGAGGAAATGAGCGGGAGCGAAAAATAAGAATGGAAAAGAAGGAAAGGGAGGGGTGAAGCGGAGGAGAGAGGAGGAAAAGGAATGAGAAAGCGAGAGGAAGAGACAAATCGATTGAACAAGAGATGAGAGAGTGAAAGGGAGTGCCATACACACACGCACGCATAGGGAATGAAAAGGGGAGGGGAGAGGAGGAGATCTTGTCAAAGTGGGCTAGTGAATTGCGAGCGAGTGTATATGTCCCGGTCTGATGCAGGTAGTAGAAACGGGCGAATGGTAGTGAGTTTTTGCGTATACAAGCGCTCATTCGGTTTTGACAAAGAATGAGAATGTAATTAAAGCGAGAATTCGTCGAAATTCTCTCCGCCTGACTGATCAATACGTTCGTGCACAAATGTCAGAACTATGTGCTGTATATTTATTTTGCAATCAATACGGCCGGTGGCGGGGAAAGAAACGACAAAGACTGCTCTTGTATTGTTGTTCCTGCTGCTGCTGCTGCTGCTGCTGCTGCTCTTGATGCTGCTATTGCTGTTGCCGCTACTGCAGCGATCTGCAGACTTGGAAGCATTACAAACTTGACTCTGTCCTTCGAAAATATTGATATAATATAGGTTTTCGTTGGTGGCCGGGCCGATTTGTGACGAGTGAACAACAAATATTTACATTGGTTAACCTGTTAGTCGACACAGGTTGCACGGAAGAAAAATAACTGCAGTTATGCACAGTAATTATTTTTCCGCGATAGAACAAACTGATCAAGACTGCTTATGCCGCATGAAAAATAAAACCTGGCCATGCATGCACGTATATATATATATATATATATATATATAAAACAAATGTAAAAAAATAGGAAAAAAATGTTAAAATGTTAATATGCCAGCTTTCGAGAAGTATATAATATCTCTTTGTCATTATTGTCAATAATTTCTCATTATTCCTCCCTGATATATATATCCTAATAAATGTTATCGCATGTTATCGCAAAATATATTTGCATCATAAAACGGATAGCTTTTTAGCATGCTTTTACAGCCTGCTCTTTTGCATAATTTTGAATATTCTGTTTCGGGTCTGAATTCGAGTTAAAATATCGCGAGATGAGGCAATCCAAAATTATACTATTAAATGATGTGAATACATCAGAGCGTGTAATTGAGCATCTTGAGTAGAAAAATCTTTCTTGTCAGACCATAATGGTATAGTAGGCTACGCAGTGTATAATATATATACAGTTCATGGAAATGTAATGACTAGTTCATGTCAGCCATACAGCACACCCACCACATCCCCATTTACGCCATCTACTAGCGTCTGTGAACTCTATTGCTTTATAAGGTCGTTTACTCCTCTGCCAATATGAAATGAGCTCCCAGCTGCAATTGCTGAACTTGGTAGCTTGAAAGTGTATATATATATATATATATATACATACACGTACTGCACATATATATGCACTGAAGTTACTTTGTGTGTAATTGTGCTACACTGAACACCATCGCGATAAGTAAATGCATTGTTAATTTCCATCCATCATCTCTCTTTCTCTCGCAGTCTCTCACTATCCTGTCTCGTTCCCTCCCTTCCTCTGTTCCAACCTCCTTCCATCTAAATCTCATTATTTCCTATCTCGAATTTAATTTGTTGCACTAATCCCAAATTCTTTAAATGAAGACCACAACAGCAACAATGACTCAGACCCTTATATTTGTTTCTAATAGTCAATGTATATAATATATATGCTCACGCAGTCGAACCTT